TCCATAGATCAAAACATTAAATTCCAGCTGTGCACATAATACAATATGAAGAGAGATCTAATAATATTTTGGCTACAAAGCGTAAGTCATAGAAAGAGCCTCCAGCAGAAAACAGAAATCAGGAGATTAATAAAGTCGTTTTATACGACCCAACAAATACATTTGTGCTTGTTTCGCATCGGACTGTCGGGGAATGAACCGTATTGCAAATGATAAAATATAAATAGGTACAAAACGAAGTTTCCCTTTTCGAGTTTGGGCTGGACGTTGGAAACACTGAAGACATAAAAACGAACGAAACTAAAACCTTCAGCGCGTGTTCAGTTTCAGACACACACACACACACACACACACACACACTGTGACAGGATTCATGATGCATAGAAGAGCGAGAGGGTCCAGAAGAAGAGAGGTCACAGAGCTTGACCTCTCCTGACATCATGTACGGCGAACCCTCACAAACTTAATGCTTACAGGACTCGTATTCTTCATCATAACATCGGACATCAATAACTCAAAATAGCTGTCTGTTATAATATTAATCAGGCACACTGAAAGGAATTACACTGCAAAACAAATGATGTTCTTCCTTTGCATTTCTGTCTTGTTTTCCAGTAGATATCTAAACATGCTTGAATCAAGATACACTTACTTTTTAAAAGCAAAATGGCTTAAGATATTACGTTTTATTTTCTGAAAAATGTATCGACATAAAAAAAAAAAGTTAACGTTATTCAACGCATTAACTAACATGAGCGATATATTTGTCGCAGTATTGATTAATCTTTGTTAATGTTAGATAATAAAACAACTGTTAATTGTTCGTTTATGTCAGCTCAGGCCCATAAAATAATATTAACAGATACAAGTTTTGTTCAAAATGTTGCTGAGGGACCACAATGGAAATAATACTTATGTATTTTATTTTAATGTATGACACAGTTTCATACTGTTTCATATTTTTATATTTAAGTGGTCATATAAAATAAATCAATCAATCAATCAATGCTTTTGTATGAAACTTACCTACATTTAATTATTGATAAAAAAAGAACGCATGAAGCTAGGATGAAATGTTTTTTTTTTTTCTTTAAATTATAATGAGTTCTTTCTTTAAAAGCTTTTTCGAGTTCTTACTTTCTTTCTTTTTGATATATTGTAGGTTCAGATATTCATAAAACAACATTCTGGGGGCCCTAAAACTTTTGTGAAATTGATTTTTTTTTTAAATACACGTTGTTAATACAGTTCTTTCAGAAAATAAAACGTAATATTTTCAGTCATTTTGCTTCTCAAGCAAATGTATCTTGATGTAAGAATGTTTAGATATTGTAAATCATTTTTTTTGCAGTGAAATTGCTGAGAGATTAAACACACTAAACAGGAGAATCGGCAGTGAAATCCAGTTTTACACGACAAAAATGAAAACATGAAATCAAAATGAAGCGCTAATACTTTCATAATACATGCTCCTGGTCTTCTTGTAATGATTCATCAGCGCGCGTTAGTCCAAAGGAAAAGTGTTTGTCTTCATAATGTAGTGCTGCTTTAAAAGGATAGTTCACCCCAAAATGAAAACTGTCAGTAATTACTCTCCCTCATGTTGTTCAACCCCGTAAGACTTGCGTTCATTCGTCTTTCATTCAGCGCAGCGCTTCTGGGTTGTACGTCACACGCAGGCTCACTATTGGCCGACGCTGGTCATGTGTGTGATGATGCGTGTGACGTACAACCCAGAAGCGCTGCGCTGTTACACTACGACAACTCACTCGAGGCCCACAGAGAAGGAAATGAAGAGTTGAATAAAGTCATTATTTTTGTTTGTTTTTTGCGCACAAAAAGTATTCTCGTCGCTTGATAAACTTAAAGGTACAATATGCAGGATTTTTGCAGTAAAATATCCAAAAACCACTAGGCCAATGTTATATATTTTGTTTAGTTGATTACTTACAATATCCCAAATGTTTCCAACTATTTGTAAATCGTGAGAAAAATGCGATTTTAACCAAGGAAACGGGGCGTGTGAGCAGGGGTGAGGAGTCGCCAGTCAATGACGTCGTCATATCCGCGTTACCCTCGGTTCCCGCTCGTACTGCCATTGTAACCATGGCGACAGACGTTGACAACTGGGTTATGCCCGTTATGCCCATAAATATCCATAATAAAGGCTAGATGTCTCGTCCGCGCTGCTGGCCAATGGAGGTCGACGTCCGCACTGGCGGCCATCTTGCCACAGGCAGCTCGCTCACTCTAACATTGTGTTTTAATGGTGCATGTACTTTTTAAATAACCATAACTTGCTCAATTTTCTACCGATTTTCAAACGGTTTGGTTTGTCATAAACGTCAGAGATGTAGTTATGACACTGCATACTTATGAATAATAAGTGTATAAATAAATAATCATCCAGAATTATAGCCATGTTAATAACGTTTGTAAGAAACCAAACCGTTTGTAAATCCGTCAAGATTTCAACGAGAGTATTTGTGTTCGTGCTGATCACTCATCTTACATCAGGCACCACAGAGCCCGCCAGAAAGCTTGCCTGTGACAAGATGGCCGCCGGTGATGACGATAGAGACTCCGTCGTAAGACATCTAGCCTTTATTATGGATATCTATGGTTATGCCTAGCAGGACGCTCCCGCTGTTGTTGTTTTGTTCATACATTATAGACCATGGCAAGCAGACTTTGAGACAAAAAGAGGACTAAAACGAAGATCAACATCTTTCGAGATGCCGAGAGCTCCTTCAACTTGACAGAGACGCGAGTGTTGCATGTACTTTATTAGACAGGTGAGCAAATGTACATAAAACTAATCAATGTTATGTAGTTCCAACATGATGAAATGTTAGAATATGATCTGTATGTTATTCTCTAATGTTAATCTAGCTTAGTCTCATACAGCCGACAAACAACCAAACTAACAACATTCAACACACTCAAATGCCGTTTAGTGTGATAGTGTAACTGTTAGAGCAAGTGAAGCAGCGCTGCGTTACCTCAAGTTTCATTCGTCTAATAAACTGACCTGTGTGAGTATTAATTCAGCACTTGCGTGTAGTTCGGTAGAATGAAATGTCCTTATTCCTTTATATCCGCGGGACTCGCGTTGTGTGTGGCGCTGGTATACGTCTAGCAATCGCGCCATGCTTCACACCACAGTCATGTTAAAAACATCACTGTATTCACTCATCCATTAAAGATCCATCAGCTTGACGACAAGATCCATAATTCCGCTTAATGCGTAATATAGGTCATTAATATACGCCTTTGTTATTGTAAGAGGTTAGCGACCCCTGGTGGCGAAAAAACCTACATATTGTACCTTTAAGGTTGAGCCGCTGTAGTCACTCGGACTATTTTAACGATGTCTCTTTAATAACTTTTCTGGGCCGGCGAGTTTCAATCCCTTAGAAGCCTATGGAGGAGTGATCCAGCTCTCAGATTTAATCACAAATATCTTAATTTGTGTCTCGAAGATGAACGAAAGTCTTACGGGGTTGAACAACATGAGGGAGAGTAATTACTGACAGAGTTTTCATTTTTGGGGGAACTATCCCTTTAAGACGGAGTGATTGACGAGATGAGAAACGTTCTTGTTGACTATCGCGTTTGATTCAGAAACCCTCACATCTCAGAGGTCAAACGTGTGTTTGCGTGTTGGTATTGCTATAGCTCGGCTCTGCTGGCCTGGTCTGGGATTCTCCTCACGGACACACGTTACAGTCACACACATCGACAGACAGAAGCATCATGATCGGGATTCAGGAGGAACCGCTCATTCCTCAATACAGACTTGAGTTTAAAAGCGTAATTTTTGTTGCTGAAAAATCATGTGGACGTCATTTATACATGCTTTTAAAAACAATATTCATCAAAAAGTCTATTTACATTAAAGTCTCACTGATAAAGTTTTCGAAAAAGAGTTTTAGTCGCTTTTTATGGGGTGTTTAATACTGTGATTGTGCTGCAAAAAGATTCCTCCTCAGTGTTTCTGTCTTGTTTTCTAGTAGGCTACAATATCTAAACATTCTTACATTAAGACGCATTTACTGGACAAATTTATCAAACTGTGTTTATGCTTGAAACAAGAACTAATATCTGCCAATAAGGTCTGAAAAATGATCTCAATTCAAAAGGGAAAACTGGATTATTTTTCTGACACCACTGGCAGATATTAGTTCTTGTTTTAGGCATAAACTCACCTAATTTTAATAAGATATTAAGTGTTGTTTTCTGAGAAAAATAACATTTGAAAAAAAAAATCTTCCAAAGTAAATTTATCTTGATTTGAGATATTTGTAGATATTTGCACTGGAAAACAAGACAAAAATACTAAGTAAATAATTGTTTGCCATGTGGTTGTACACTGATGATGATGATGATGATGATGATGTTTGGGAACGTCTGCATAAGGTTTAAAGAACAAAATTTCTTTTACAGAAAAGTACATTGATCACTTCAAGGCGTTTGGTCTCAAAGATCGTTCACTGTAAGCGCTCTGTGTTGAATATACAGCAGAATGACATCAGCACTGCAAAAACACCACCTTCATCAGGATTGACCTCATTTTACACTAAAAAATGAAATATTACGATGTTCTAAGCATAACCAAACGAACTGTAGTGAAGCTGAAAAAGTAAAGTCAATATAAAATCAAAATTGACGATTCTTATTTTATTATGGAATAATGCGGTATTAATGATAAATTACTTATCAGTGCACATCATTATTGTTTTAAAATCATGTGCATTCTTGAATCAAAATTAGCGACATCTCTTCTCTTCTCTGATGATGTGGGCGGGGCTATAAGCTGTCACTCACATCAGATCCACCAATAGCAAACCACAACCATCCAATCAATTCCCCACAGACAAAATCAAGCCCCGCCCACATTTGTTCCTCACAACAGGGGAAAAAAAGTCGAGCTTCCATTTTTAATGTTGTGTTTAACAACTTAATTGCTAATAGGGGATGGCTTACTTCAAGACATTCTCTTTTGTTTTACGCCTAAACTTTTTGTTTTTAGAATATTTTTATTTCTGGGAAAACTAAATAAAAATACTGATAAAGAAAGTGATGATATTTGCAGTTTCAGATTCATTCATACACAAAAACCAAACAAACAAACAACAAACAAACGCTCCTCGGCTCAAAGCCAGAGAGACAAGCCTTAAAATTCACTATCATAAATACAATTTACCTAATAAAGTTAAGGAGAAAACAGGAAACGTGAAGCACATCTTAGTTGTTTCTCTTTTTTTTTCAAACCTTTGTGTATGAAAAGCAACGCTGAGATCACGGACACTGATGGGGCTGAAGGCACGTCGCAGGGCTGAGAAGGAAGTGTTGGTCTGTAGTGTGCAGAGCTCAGTTAGTGTACACTACTTCAGGAGAGCTCGATACAGAAGGAGAGATCTGCTGGTCTCTCGCTCCTGCTCCATGTAGAAGATGAAGTCCCTGAGATTGACACGTGTGATTCTCTGTCGGGAATACTGTCGTGACGAGCCGGAGGAGGCCGACGATCCGGCCGGAGAACCCGCCGAACTCCCCGACACCTGAGGAGAACACAACACAGATCTCGTATTAAACACACAGGCACGCTAGATCAGGGGCCGGTTTCACAAAGCTATTTTAGACCGGTCTATAGTGTTAGACAAGTCTAAAATGTGCTCATAGACTAGTCTAATGCGAGTTAGACTGTTTCACAAAAATAAAGACTGACTTAAAGGGATACTCCACTTTTTTTGGAAATAGGCTCATTTTACAACTCCCCCAGAGTTAAACTGTTGAGTTTTACCATTCAGCCGATCTCCAGTTCTGGCGGTACCACTTTTAGCATAGCTTAGCATACATCATTGAAGTGGACAAGACCATTAGCATTTCAAAAAAAAAAAAAAAAAAATGACCAAAGAGTTTCGAGAAATAATCAAGAAACTTTACTGCCGTACCATGAGAGCAGCAGGCGTAATGATATGACGCAGCGCCTGAAAATAGTTCCGTTGTGTTGACGGAAGGTGGCCTATTTTCAGGCGCTGCGTCATATCATTACGCCTGCTGCACTCATGTTACGGCAGTAAAGTTTCTTGATTATTACGCAGGAATGAGAGTATAGTTCCTAGCCATATCAGCCTAGAAAATCGCAACTTTACATTTTCCGTCGGTCTTAGTGCATGATGTAACTACAGAAGAGTCAACTTTTAAATAGGAAAAATATCTAAAGTCTTTGGTCATTTTTTTTTTTTTAGAAATGCTAATGGTCTTGTCCACTTCAATGATGTATGCTAAGCTATGCTAAAAGTGGTACCGCCAGAACCGGAGATCGGCTGAATGGATTCAAAAACGGTAAAACTCAACAGTTTAACTCTGGGGGAGTTGTAAAATGAGCCTATTTCCACAAAAAGTGGAGTATCCCTTTAATTTAGACCAAAAGAATTAGACACCTTCCCCCCAGGCTAACTTAGGTCTAATGGTGCGTTCTATTATTGTCAATGAACCGACTCGGCCCTCGGATATGACGCCATTTCCACACCTCAAGCGAAAATTTTTCAAAAAATCCCCCCAAAACGAACCTTTTATTGAAATTAAAGAATCGAAAGTGGGGGGTAAAATCACATTATGAAATAAATGTTTTTCTCCAAAACCTGATGATCATAATCTCCAGCATGATTTCAGATCCAAAGAGCATGTTAAGATTCACACAAGAAAGAGTCGCATGATCACTGACACTCGGTTGATGTAATGAAGTCACAAGGGCTTAAACCTAAATAAAATTCAGCATTTCTGATGCTATTATGATCAAAAAATGTCTTTTCTTAAACTTGAATACCAGTGGATTACACTGAGATACTCAGTTTGCCTCGAACGGGTTTATTCTTGCGCTCTCATCTCACAAGACCTCCTGCTCATCTGCTGCTTTCAAGCATAAACTGAAGGAGAAGTCAAATAAACAAACGGATTCTCACACAGCTGAGTCAGACCTCCGTCTTTCATGAATAACAGAAACATATCAGATGGGAGAAAATTCGAAAGACCACTCGAAACAAGACCGGAAACGGAGTATTTCTCTCCAGCAGACGTCGCACAATTAGACTGATTGCTCTCGGTAAACACAAATCACACGGAGCCCTTAATGGAAACCATCTGACGGGAACAGAAATCCTGCATACGCCAGCGAGCGCATGGTGGCCGCTTGTGTCTCGTCTCCGGCGAGCCGTCAGCGGATCTGACGGGCGGAGTGTGCTGAGGTGGGGTGAATTTAGGACAGGCAGCGCTCGGGACACCCTCAGGCCTCAAGACCTCCAGAAGCAAGATCTGGACTCATCAGGCCAATCAGAGTTGACCTCATGTGAAAGCCAGGCATGCCTTCTGCCATGGCAATTAATGCCAATCATAGCCTGGACCAATCAAACGCATCCATCTACCTGGACACGCTGGCGGGCCTCTGGCGTGTGTGTGTTTGTGTGCTGAGTAGTCACATGTGTGCATGTGTTCGAGAGAAAGAAAACAGTTCGAGGAAGAGACAAAAGGAAGAAAAACATGCAACGTGAAACATACATATTCAACTATAACGCAGCTCTACAGAAGACAATAGTGCGTTATTCAGCTCACTTTAGTTCAGTGTTGATTCAGTTCAGTAACTGTCAATTCGTTCATCAATTATGAAACGGATTAATTTTCGCGGGGGCATTTTTTTCAAATACGCCGCACTTTCGCCGCATAAATTGACGATTGACGATATTTTTTTATATTTCATTTATTCATTTTTACAGAAGTTGTAGCATATTCCTCTTGTAAAGCTACAGAACTTGTTTGATTCACTTGTAAGTTTGATGTGTTTATTAAGGTCTGAAATAAAACACGATGAGAACTGAAATATTCCAGCACGTTCTGTGATGTAGTTATGCTTGCTTATCATAGGAATTCATAAGAAATGACTCTACATTAAGGTAGGAGCCTAGTGAGAACAGGGTTTTGGGGAATCACTTTTCTTTCTCTTTTTCATCAAACTGCAATTTTTGCAAGTTCCCGCAGTTTCATCGCATAAAATTGCATAAATATCCCGCATATTCCATCGCATTTTTAAAGAAAACGGGCCGCATAATCAAGGATTTTTGCCCGCAACAATCACAAAAAAACTTCTGGAAGGGCTGAATAACAGTGTGAATGTTCCAAAGTTCATTAGTTATGAAACAAATGTATTCAACTCGAGTCAGTTCAATGTTGATTCAATTCACTTCAATAGTGTCGATGTTGCAGTTCATAAATTATGAAACAAATGTATTCAACTTCTGTAGAGCTGCTTTACAGGAGTATCAAATTAAATTCAACCTAGAAGCGCTGCGCTGTTACACTACGTGAAATATCACGGCCGTACGGAGAAGGAAATGAATAGTTGAATAAAGTCGTTATTTTTGTTTGTTTTTTGCGCACAAAAAGTATTCTCGTCGCTTGATAAACTTAAGGTTGAGCCACTGTCGTCACTCGGACTATTTTAACGATGTCTTTCATAACTTTTCTGGGCCGGCCAGTTTCAATCCCTTAGAAGCCTATGGAGGAGTGATCCAGCTCTCAGATTTAATCACAAATATCTTAATTTGTGTAGTGAAGATGAACGAAAGTCTTACGGGGTTGAACAACATGAGGGAGAGTCATTACTGACAGAGTTTTCATTTTTGGGTGAACTATCCCTTTAAACTTCTCATAATTTGATAAACTGCACTGTTATTGAACTAAACTGAATCAACACTTGTTCTGAATAATGGCACTATTGTCTTAGCTGCTTTATAGCTGATTCAAATTTGTTTCATAATTGATGACCTGTAACATCAACACTGTTATTGAACTGAATTGAATCAACAGTGAATTATGAAACAAATGTATTCAACTCAAAGTCAGTTCAATATTCAGTTCAATAACAGTGCAGATGTTGAAAAGTGCATTACCAATCTCAATAACAAAGACAATAACAGCTCAATTCAGTTCAATAACTGAATGTCAGATTTGCAAAGGTCATCAATAATGAAACAAATAAAATTTCGGTAACACTTTATTTTAAGGTGCTTGTAATAAGCAGTAATTAACAGCTAATAAGACACTTATAAGACCTTATAAGATGCATATAAGCATTAACTAATGATAATAAATAAATAAAATTAAATAATAAATTTCTCAAGTATCAATACATTGCACTTTTAGAACAGCCGGACAAACGTAAATGGTAACACAAACTCCCAGTCCCTTAAAAATTTACCTTCCCAAGAGGGAGTAGTTTCCCTGATCTCTTCAAGGCCTGTGCCCGGTTGCATAAAGTACCTTAAGTTTTTCCCTTAAGTATGATACTTAAGGGGCGATTTACCCTTACCTAAGAGAACAACTTAAGGGTGTTGCATATAATCTCTTAAACGGTTCTCTTAGGTAAGGGAAACATTTAAGTGTTTCACGACAGCGATCCTGGATTCACGTTATAAAAGTCTGTTGTTGCCATAGATACGCAAAACACTAACATGTCGGAATATCACGTGTCAGTCCAGTGACGCTATCACGCAACACCGCGTTAGCTCCGAACGTGGCGGCAGTTTGTGTTGTTCACCGTCTCATGCTTTGGCATTTGTTTAGGTTTTGTGAATGCACTTCTGGCTCTGTGTCTCGAAATACAGCTGAGTATATTTCCATAGCATACCTGTTTTCTTCTGTCATGATTCCTTTTAAAACACAGAATCAGCTCGTTCTCCTGTGAATTTTTTGTCGGCCACACACTCTCCGTGCGCGCACTGACTTAACGTTGTGATAGTTAAAGGCCAATTTATACTTCTGCGTCGGGTGCGCGCAGTAGGTACGGCGTAGCATACGCACAGACGCGTACCATACGCCGTACCCTTCGCCGTAACCTGACGCGCACCTCCTCAAAAATGTAACTACACGTCGCGACGACGCGGACCGCAAGATCTGTGATTGGTCGGCTTGGTAGCATCGCGTTTCCTCCTATGCATTTCCGGCGTGTTCTTCTGCACCGCCCGCCATTTTTAAATTCTAAGTACAGCGAAACTGTTAAAAAAACAAAAAAATGTACCTTTTCCACCTCGATAAGCTCCAACTCCAACATGATCTGCTCTCTTTCAGTCGACATTGCTTGTAGTAACCTAAACTCAAAACAGCCGCGAGGAATCTTCTTCTTCTTGCCGCGAGGAATCTAAACACAGTGGAACATTAAAACCCTCCGCCGCCAACTAGCGTTTCGCCGCTGTACTGCAGAGCAACGCAGACCTAAACGCAGAAGTATAAATGCTCATGACGGCGTCGCCTACGTGCGTAGCGTACGCCGTACACTACGGCGTACACTCGACGCAGAAGTATAAATTGGCCTTTACATGCGAGTCGCGTGTAATGACAGACAGACAGCCGTCTAGTTTGATAGCGATGTCAAATATTGCGTGTCGATCAAATCGGTATTCTTGCAACAATTTTTCATGGCTAAATTGGTCCAAAGGGTTCTCCCTATTCCCTATGATCTTCAGCTGGTTTCATAAATTCAGCCATGTCGTCTTATTTTTGTCCG